AAGAAAGAAAGAAAGAAAGAAAGAAAGAAAGAAAGAAAGAAAGAAAGAAAGAAAGAAAGAAAGAAAGATCAAGCGGGGTAGTGTCTCTGACAAATTGGGCGTCCTGACATTAAATCGAAAGGGTGTATACTACAGAACCGCCTGCCAGCCAATAGAATGAAATAGCCCTGGGGGTGTGTTCTTGTCCTGGCTAGTACCAGATTTGAGCCCCGGCAAAAGGTAGAGTCTGTAGAGTTGAGTCAGTTAAATTTAGTAGTCGCCAAGGTATCCAGTGGTTTAAATGTTTGCATGTGTGTAGATTTGGCTTACAGATTGTTTAGGCAAGTAAATGGCGTTTTTTCATTTTCTCCCCAATACATTTCACAATATAGCTTTAAAGTTGCTTTTAAAAGGTGACCTGAGCTTAAAAGGGAAATCACCATATTTCTATTGCTTAAAGTTACTATATTGAGTAGGAGTCTTGATGGAGGTCGAAATGGCAAGTGAGCACAGAGAAGGATGGACGAGAACGGTGGTTCATTTCACTGCGTCTTCATAACTGTAATTTTGCCACTGTTATGGGTCATGATGTAAATGTCTGATATTCAGGATATCGGATATGCCACCCCTGCAGGGGTCGTGGTGTGACCCACATATTGGGAGCTGCTGGACTAGATCTTTGTTCAGTACCAGCTTACTTAAAAGGGTAAACCGTAGAAATATTCTACGCAGGAAAAACTGAACCTGTGATGGTGTTCCCAGTGATAGAACAAAGGTTGTGGCTAAGGGTTTAATGATTTACCAAATTTGCATTGAGTCCACCCCCTTCTAGGATTTACCTTTAGAGCCTAATTGTCCCATAGCTCTGTAGTTCCCTCTGCTAGAAGCAATTGGAACCACTTTGACCCGTAATTTCCTTTGCAGCTCCAAAATTATATAAAAGGAGTAGTCGTTCTCCTACATCACCTTTCTTCTTCCTACCACTCCCTCACTCCCCAAACCAGGAACAAGCTAGTCTACTCCCCTAGAGAGCAAACAAGGATGTTGAAGCAAGAGGCATTGTATTGCAAATGCTAAATTGTCCTTGTCTTCACAGAGGGCATGCAACATTTTTCCAGTCTCTTAGGATAGTTCTTCAGCATCCTGTGATTTGGTGGGTGGTTTTTTGTTTGTTTGTTTCTGTTTTCTCTCTTGTCATAGCTAGCCCCACAGTCATTAAAGCAATTCGACTTTGTCATTTTAAATGCTCTTGTCACAGAAGCTTTAATACCAAAATATTGAACCTGGCAACAGATCATCAGCCTTATCAGATCACAGTAACCACAGCACTTACTCAGTAGAGTGAACAATGTGGTTGATTGGAAGGAGCTACAGTAACAGCGTTGCATGATGGTACAGCAAGAAAAAAAAAGTCTTTATGAAGTACCGTGTTAAATTTATTTAACATCTTAAAGGATCAGAAAAACTTTATGAACTGGGAAAGACTGTACAGCCAAGAGAGTCCTTAAGAAAGTATAAAAACAGTTTATTAGATGACTAGCAAAATCTGAGTGCTGTGGATTCCCATCCTTTATTGCAAAGCATTAATAATCTTGATAATCTTGCAAAAAAAATAAAAAAAATATATATATATAAGGAACTTATTTTCAGTGGGTATTTTCCCCACCAAAACATCTAAAGCTTTCTTGATATCTAAGAAACTTTCAAAAAAAAAAAAACTGTTTAGTATGCATCAATTTTCCCAGCTACTCAGGAGACTGAGGCATGGGAATCATTTGAACCCAGGAGTTTGATGAGTCTAAACAATATCGGAGACCCTATCTCAAATGAAAAACGGTTTTGTGGGGATTTCTCTTTGTACCCTTGGCTGTCCTGGAATTCACTCTGCAGACCAAGCTGGTCACCAACTCAGAGATCTGCCGACCTCTGCTTACTTCCTGAGTGCTGGGATTAAAGGGGTGTACAGCCACTGCCCGATTCTTAAACATTTTCATGCTTCACAGACACCCACCCACCCCCAGTAAACTGATTTCTTTCTAATAGTGTTTTGGGGGTTTTGTTTTTGATCCCCCTGCCTCAGTCTCCAGCTTGCTGTAAATACAGGCCTGTGCCCTCATGCTCAGATCTCCCAGTGTTTATTAAGAAAATCACATCTGTTCTTGACATCCTTTTCCCAGCCTTCAGCTTTCTCTATCTAATCTTTCCTCCATAGCAACCTTACACCTGAGTTTCCTAAAATAAAGTCCTCAGGGTTGAACCAGGGCTGATGACTACTCACTATAGTCCTAGCTCTGCGGGATGAGCCTGGAGGGTTGTGAGGTAAAGTCCAGCCTAAGCTACTCAGTAAGATGCCGTCTCAAAAAACAACAACAAATCCTCTATTGAAGCAGTAGTAAGGTGTAATGAAAAGAGAGTTTAATGTAAAAACCTGGGAGTGCTGGTGAGTATTTATTCCAAGTAAATATTTAATAAGCCTGGTTTGTGATTTTCTTCTTCCAAATCATATTTAACTGAGGCTATTATATTGGCTTCTGGTAAGGATTTACAGAGGACTTGCCTAACATACTCAAGGCCTGGATTCAAGGCAGGTAAGGCAATATTCACCTATAATTCTGTAATTCCCCCCCGCAAGCATGAAGGAGACAAAGAAGAAAGATCTAAAGTTCAGGGCCAGCCTGAACTACATAGATAGATCCTATCTCAAAAAAAATCTGTTTTTGAATAAAAGATAGATATTGTAATAAATAATTGATTTAAGAAAACTTGTTCAAAGGTTCTGATATACTTTAAAACATTATAGATTGTTACTGTTGGAATAAGGGTGTTCGGGGTCATCATCTGTCGTCCAGTTGTTTGCTAGGGTAGATATATCTTTTTAGGTGGGTGACTGCCCTCTGCTCCATTTGCACCTCTCCTGAAGCTTCACATTCTGAAAGAGAAACAACTTTCATAGCAGATTGTACTATTAGCATTTTAGCATAAAGTTGTTAAAAATCAGTTTAGGGGCTAGAGAGACCGCCAATTGGGTTAAAGTACTTGCTGCTCTTGCAGAGGACCTAGTTTGGGTCCCAGCATTGGTGACTCTCAGTCATTCGTAACTCCAGTGGATCTGGTGCCTCTTCTGACCTCCAGGTATCATGTGGTGCACATTCATACATGCAGGCAAAACATTCATACACATAAAGTGAAATGATAAAATAAAAATAAAATTTAAAAAAGGGGGGCTTAACAATTAACTAACTATAGGAGTCACTTTTCTTGGTCTTCTGATTTGCCTCTCGATGTCTTGCTCCTACATTAAGTCAGTTTTCCCATCAATGGTTCTTTCTCCTACGTTAGAACTTCCTCAAGTCATCATTTCAATA